TGTCTAACCAGGACACTTTTTCTCATCTTTTTTTTTTTTTTTTTTTTTTTGGCTTCTCTCCCATAGGGGAGCCTGTGGAGATATATTCAAGAGGACTTCCTAGTTCAGTTCTTTTTCACTCTGCTCTTATCATATACAGACAGAGTTGGCTCTCAGCTTCATTTCAATAGCCATTCACTGACTACCGTATCCTGTGCAGATAATGATGGTGCAGGGCGCTGAGATGGGGAAGACAAGGATCCTGCTCACAGGGAACCCACTGAGTTATAGTATATCCCTCTCTGGGCTTTTAAAGGCTTTCCTTTATTCCTTCATACTAGAAATGCTATACAGTAAACTGCAGATGACATCATAAGTATTTACAAACCTGAAAAGATAAATACTACAGATGTACAATTTGTTTAAAATACTCAGTCCAATGAGAATCTCTCTGGGCAAGTGAATTATCAAGGAAATTTACAAAATAAATAGTCCCTTTACTAATTGTGTCAATTTCATGGGTCTTGGAATTATGTTTTCAGGTTTTGAATATGTATTTATATGTTTCAATGCTCTAAACCATATTCCTTATTTTTCCACTCAATTATTATTATCTCTGCCCCACACTCCACAGACTGAGGCACAAATCTGAGTGACTTGTTTAGTTTCCTATGGTTAATCAGGGAGAGAGTTTACATTAAAATGCAGATATTCTGCAGAGCCTAGTTTTCAGTCAGACTGGTAGGAATCATGTAACAATTCAAAATATTATATGATTTGGTAAACTAAATCAATGGGGACACTTCAGACACTAAAATATTCAGGATCTCATAAGGATTCTAAACTCAAAATATCTTAATATATCATTGTAGATTAGCTTTAAGGGATTTACCTGAAATCATTTAGTTCAACTCATAATCAAAGATGAAAATAAATCGGGAGTTATTATCCACAGGAAATCTGACTGTGGAAATAAGCGCCTAAAGCAGGCTTTTTAAATCTCAAGTCATTGCTTTTAGCCTTATTCCATGCAAATGGTCTAAATATTAAAGTTTTATATTTGTATACATATATTGAATAATGCAGCTTGACTTCGGTGATGTTATACAGTTTCCACAAAATAGTCTGACCAAAAAAGAGTTAAATTTATTTTGCTAAGATTCACTGAAAATTGTAAGCTCTGTCTCTCTGTCAGTGGGAACTGTGTTAGAAGAAATGAAATTGAACACAGGGGGTAAGTAACAAGCTTTACCCGTATAAAATCATGGCAGAAATCTTGGATTTTTCCTTTTGGTGACCTCTTTTTTGAAGAAACAAGAAATACGTAATAAATATTTTTCTTAAATAAATCACAGCTTTGAAAAGTGGTTGATATAGCTTGAGGTCCTATTGGAGAAATAACGAATCTGTGTCCCACTGTTTCCTCCAGAAACTGAACAAGGCATATATATATATGCATATATATATAGTGCATGTAGGAGATAGGCTATGAAATAGACATTTTTTAAAATGTCTACTGTATCTTAATAGAGTCGCAAATACAAACATAATCAGACTTGCCTTATGTTTTATATTCAATAAGATTAGTTTCAAAATATTTGTAACCATATGTCTCTATAGAATTAGAGTTAATAAAGAATGGTAGCAGAGGGACTACAATCATTAAGATGTGTGTCATTTGAGTATCTGGATTTTTTTAATGAATAAATTTAAAACCATGACAATTTAGAATTATCCTGAATATTGTATATTATTGCCTGCTCCCTTCACAAAATATATAGGGGAGGTATAGGAAATTTAAGAATATTTGGCACTTGGGATCCCCCTCCTGCTCTGTAGCAAATATGTATAATAAATTTTAAGCTTTGATATCCTGACCACTACTCTATTCCTTCAAATGTACACAAAAATTTTTAATTGAGTTTTTATTGTAGATTCATACTCAGTTGTGTGAAATAATGGAGAGATTTCATCAACCTTTGACCCAAATAACGTCTTGCAAAGATACCATGACTAGGAAACTGATATTGATATAGTTGACCAATCTTATTTGGTTTCCTCAATTTTACATGTACTCATCTGTGTGTGTGTGTTTGTGTGTGTGTTTGTGTGTGCGCCCATGTGTGTGTATTTAGTTCTATTAAATTTTATTTCATGTGTAGCTTCATGTATTCATCACTATAGCCAAAATACAATACAGTTTCCATACCACAAGGATTGCTTTGTGCTATCCTTTAATAATCACATCCATGTCCCTCCCCATCCCTTCTACCACTTAGTGTCCTTAACCCTTGGTAAACTCTAATCTCTTTTCTATCTTTATAATTGTATTATTTCAAGACACTATATAAATGTATTTTATCTATAATTATAGGGTTTTCGAGTGTATTACTTTGTATATTTTCTTAGTAGTTGCTCTGGGATTGAAATACACATATGTGATTTATACACAATCTACAAGTAATGGTTTACCATTGTGAGTAAACTATGGAAACCTTACTTCTTTTAGGTCCCTTTGTCCTGCCCACTTTTTACTTGTCTTGAGTATTCCTTCTATGTTTCCTCAACATTAAATCAATTGATGTAATTTTTGTTTCAAACATCATATAATGGAGACGATTCAGGAGAAGGCTGGTTTATATTGTATTTACCCATGTTTGTGTTCTTTCCATTGTTCTTTCTTCCTTCCTGATGCTCCAACATACGTTTGTTTTTCCCCTAAAGAAATCAACTTTTCAAGACAGATCTGCTAGAGAAACATGTTCTTAGTTTTCCTTCTTCTAAGAATATATGTATTCCCTTTTGATTCCTGAAGTTTCGTTTCCCTGGTTACGAAATCATTGTTGGTAATTCTTTTCTTTCAGCACTTAAATAATGTCCCACTTCCTCTGGCCTCCATAATTTCAAATGAGAAATCTATTGTCATTTAAATTGATGTTCTCTTATAGAGTATATGTCTTTCTCTCTGGCTGCTTTAAAGACTTTTTTTTGGTCTTCCAGTTTAATTTTGATGAATCTTGATATAAACTTCTTTGGGTTTATCACATTTGAGATTAGATTGATTCTGTACATTACAATTATATCTTTTGGCAGATTTGCAGTTTGGGACCATTATTTCTTCAATCTCTTTCAACCCTAATATCTTTCACTTATTTGAAACTTGTATAGTGCCTATATTGAATATTTGGTTATTGTCCCACAGTTCTCTGAGGCTCTCTGCTTTTTTTTTTCCAATCTATTCTCTTTTTCTTGTTCACATTGAGTTAATTATTATAGTGCCCTATCTATAAGTTTACTAATACCATCATGTCATCTCTACTGTACTGTTAAGCCAATTTAGTGAGTATTTTTCATTATTATATGTTTTGTCCTCTATATTTTTCATCTGATCTTTTTATCATTGCTTTGCTGAGATTTTCTATTTTTTGTTTCAAGATAACTACTAATTGATTGCTGATATATTTTTATGATGGCTTCTTTAAATTATTTGTCAGATAATTACATTTGTTTTAACTCAGTGTTGGTGGTCTCTATTGATTATTTTTCCACCTCAAGTTATGATTTTCCTGGTATTTGGTGTCACCAGTGATGTTTTTATTATATCCTGGACATTACAGCTAGTATATTAGGAGACTCTGGATTCTATTTTAATCTTTATTCTAGGAGGCAGTCACCCTGTTTAGGTTTAACATACAGGTCCTGGCTTATATTTTCAAAGTCATGGTTGAACCAACAATTGACTTTTCAGAGCCAAAGTGTGCTATTTGGTCAGCTTGAAGTATATAGTTGTACTAGGTGTCAACCTGGTCCCCACTGTAACCGTTTAAAGAGGCAGACGATCTTCCACAGGTCAGGCTGCTTGATGGCTCTAGTGGGGGTATGTGGTTCTCTAGCTCATAAGAAGATCACTTTAAGGGCTGGGTACTTGTCAGAGATGGATCATTTCTCTGCCATCACTGCCCGGTTGATCACTATCCGTGGTCACTGAAGGGGAGTCTCTAGCCCAGTGGGGAAAGAGATTGCTTTCCATGGCCATTTGTAGTTAGTGACATTCCCACTTGATTCCCCTTGAAGATAGCCCAGTCGTTTCCAAAGATGCTGGCAGGGCTTGCATTTGATATGTGATAAAAAAAAAAAAAAAATAGTCTACCTAGGCTACATTCTGTTGCTAGGTTGTCAGTGGAAGAAACTAAGCCTCAGCTGGTTTTTGTTATTGGTTGGGAAAAGGCTGTGTTGTTCTTCAGGTCCCAGTGTCCTTAACCTGTGCTCTTTCCTCTTTCTATCTTTCAGAGTCCTCCTTTAGTGGCCTCTTGCTTACTTCTGAACTTTATAGCGGTACTTAGTAGGAAATATAATAATATTCAAACTTTTTAATATTTTTCCCAAAATGAAATTCTGTGACAGAAAAGGTGATGTGAACCAAAGAATATGCTAAAAGTATTTAACAGATGGTACAGTAGAGGTACCAACCAATCAAGGCAACTTTAAATATTCAACACCTTAAAGGTGCTTTTCAGCTGAAAGTTAGCTCCGGTTTAAAGGAAGTTCAACATGTTTCTCTACTGTAGAGAAAATGCTTTCAATATGCTAATGTGAGTTGTTAGTCTCTTAGAAGGAATGCAGCTATCACAGTTTTCCCAAATTTATCGGTGCATATAAGTGAAACCTGTTTATGGTTTTTCTAGATACTAGAATTCCATGAAAGCCTGTGGAGGAAAGCCATTGTTATCACCACCAACATCTACCTCATCTGAAGTATTGTACTAGATGCAATCATTTAATTAAAAAGTTATTTCTGAGAACATTATGGAACACCTAATTCTACTTTGATTTTTTTTAAAAATCTGATAAAATATTTCCATATATTTAAACCTTCCTATAAACTGTATCAGGAAATAAGACTTAGATGAGATTTATGGCCAAAGACAATATTTATTGTGTTGTGCTAAAAACACAATACTCTAACAGTACTGAATTTTTTTTCTAATGTTATTTGCATTTTCAATGTTTTCACTTTCTAGCTTTAAGGGACAACAGGATTGAGCTGGTTCGAGCTTCCTGGCATGAGTTGAGTATCAGCGTCAGTGATGTGTCTCTCTCCGATGAAGGGCAGTACACCTGTTCTTTATTTACAATGCCTGTCAAAACTTCCAAGGCCTATCTCACTGTTTTGGGTAAGTACAAGGAACTGACACTATGTGATCACAAGCTACAGCAACATGATTCAATAACAAATGTATATTCTGAGGATCATATTAATAGATATAGTTTAGTCCCTTTTCTGCTACATTTTAACAAGAGGTATTTAAAAAGTCACTTAATCACTGTTCCAATTTAGAAATAAAGTGTAACAGTTTGTATGACTTCCCGAGAGCACCCATTTTGTTTCTTAATGAGCAATAGATACCAGGTTTCTTGATTATCAACTAAATTCCTTTGTGTTAAATCATCTAGATATTGTATATCTGGCAATCCTTTATAAAATAATGGAATAATGATCATAGTGAATTCAGTGTGTCTATAGAGCGGTCTTCCATTTTATTGTATAAGTCATCTGAGAAGGGCCTTCTCTAATCTTTATAGCTTTCAAATATGAATTTGTTTATATTAGCATTTAAATGACTGACTTTTTGCATCTTATCTTTTATTTTTTCTAGATTCTTAAGTGAAGAACACAATGTCAGTCAACATGTAACTTGTAGCTTCTCTCTGGTTTTATTTTCTAAATACTGGGCCTTTTCCCCAAAGGTTAAAGTGACACAAAAAAGCATTACATTCATAGAGATTCAGAGGAAATAAAGTTGCAGCTAAGAGCTCTCTGTGATTCCGCAGACGTCATGGCCCAATCAGCCGAAATTGCTGCAGTTCATTGAAACACACCTGCGTACTGAACAAGTTAGAGGCGTTTAAAGATTGATTTTTTTTTTTTTTTTGCCCCTAGCTTGCCTTCCTTTTTTATAGATAAAGGCATAACATTGCATATAAAAGAACTAATGCATGTTGTTCTCCTAGGGAGGAATATTAAAGTTAATCCAGCTAGTGAATTGGTTTTGTACCTGCAACATGAAATATGTTACTTTGCAAGTCCCACTGGGACTATTTTTAAAAATCTTCATCAGTTTGCCACCAGAGACAAAATATATCCACTAAAATGGAGTATTTCAAGATAACAACTGCCTAAGGTTAATGTATTCTTCTGTCGAGAGCCACCTTGAGACTCCAGCAATAGACAATGGGTTGATTCAGTTTATTAATGATGGTATGGCAAATATTAAAAGAAAGCATATGAATGTGAATAGGAAAAAAAAATCCAACTAATCACAACATGTTAACCAGCCATTTATCATTGGTGTTCCTGTTATTGTTTTAATTTATATTTCTCTTATTGGTGCTTTCCAACATTCTTACATTTTATTCTTTTCAAATTGAATTACACAGTACAATAAAGATATTTCAGTCTGTGTTTATTATTGAATGATTTTAAAAGAAATTTTAATAAACCTTTATCACAACAAAAGAATATTATGCAAGAAATATGAAATGTTCAATTATTTAAATAATCCATGTACTATCTCTGCATATTAGTTATCTACTTAGTCACTGGATGACTTGGACCAGAGAAGGCAGTGGTGATTAGCATCAAAAATAATATGCATCATGCCTCATAAAACCACCACTGCATTTCTAATACAAATGACATCAAAACCCTCTGTTTAAAAATCAGAAAAGTATTGTTGCAGTTATTGATAAATCTCTTATTCTAAAATGCATTTTTGAACAATGTGCATAGATGATAATAATATCTTTTTAAGCTATGAGAATTATGAAATCAGGAATGCAAAGTGCTCTTTTAGTTAAATCACGATTTGCTAAAGAATAAGGAAATGTGCTTTGTGGATTTTTTCTCCCATTGCAAACAATTTACCTTCTTAAATCCTTATACTGATCAGTCTTAAGATATACTGAATGGCTGCTTTTGAGATTTACACAGTATTTTTTGCAAGTAAAACTTTAAAAGCTACTTTGAACTAAATGCATTTTAAGTGCTTTCTGGATAACACACACATACACACAGACACACGCACGCACACACACGGTAGTCCCCCCCCCCTCCCCCCACCATCCCAGATTTCATCTTCCACAGCTTAAGTTACCCATGATTGACCCTGGTCTGGAAGCAGATGATCCTCCTTCTGACTTTTCCTTGGGCCAATAGTAGCCTAACGTTACATCACAATGCTTACGACATTTACCTCACTTCCTCTTTTCACATAGGCATTTTATCTTCTCACAGCCTCACAAGAAGGGTGAGTACAGTAGGAGACTGCATTCACATAATTTCTCTTATGGCATATTATTATAATCCAATTCATTATTAGTTATTGTTGTTAGTCTTTTACTATGCCTAGTTTATAAATTAAATTTTGTTGTAGGTATGTATGGATAGGAGAAAAACAGTTTATACCGTGTTCAGTACAGTTTCGGGTCCACTGAGGGTCTTGCAACACATCTCCCTCAGATGGTAGGGGGAACTACATATATATATATATGTATATATAGGTTGTGTGTGTGTGTAGATATATACACAATTTTTATCTCTCTAATATTAGAAAAATATTTTAAGCAGCTTATTTTATTATATAACACTTTATTGTTTTCTCTTGAAGTTATTGTCCATTAACAACCCATTTTAGCTTTGTGAAATAGTTATAAGAATGAATCAGCCCTGGAGATTGATGTTTACTCTATTTGCTTACATTACAGGTGTTCCTGAGAAGCCTCAAATTAGTGGATTTTCATCACCGGTTATGGAGGGAGACTTGATGCAGCTGACTTGTAAAACATCTGGTAGTAAACCTGCAGCTGATATAAGATGGTTCAAAAATGACAAAGAGATTAAAGGTAACAGGAAAAGTTCCCCAAGTCACAATTACTGTGTTGAAACTAGTATGAAGTGTTAGATGCAGGACATTTGACATTTTGTTTTTCAAATCATAGTCATTCTCTGATTAAGCATAATTTACACCAGGTTTACCCATTTCTTAAATTAGGTAATTCTGGAAGGTATATCATTATAATCTCTGTGTGCCCCATTTTCCTTATATGTATAAGAAGTCTAACAATAATATATACCTCATGGAAAAGTTGGAGAAATTAAGGAGTTATGCATAAAAAACATAAAGATTCATGCTTGGCAATAGTGAGCACTAAGTACATGTTAGATACTATTATTTCCAAACTCCTCTATAGTATTTAGATTACAGACAGAAATTCCATGAATTATGTTTTCAATTCATTGATTTCTGGAATTACAAAGTTCTGAGGACAGAATTAGCTAAACATCAATAACTGATTACTGGCAGTTCCCACAGGGGGCAAAAAAATGTACTCATCTCAGTAAAAATGCACAGTAATTTAAATATTATTAAGTATAGCTCTGCTTTTCATACAACTAAATTTAGACATACAAACACACACACACAACCTTTAGATAGGAAATAAGTTTATAAAGGAGATGTCTAGTGAGGTAAGTAATGATGTTTATTTGTTTGTTGTTTGCCTTCCCCCACCCCCCCACACACACAATATAGGTATCTTGGACCTGATGTCACGTGCACATTAAAATCCAAGAATTGTTTATGATGATTGTTAAAAATGTTTCCTATGGGCATGCTGGCCCAGAAGATATGATAATACAGTATAATATTTTATTATATAGAGAGAATTATTATACATTATAAGATATTAGAATTATTATATATTATAAGATATTATATAATATACGATCACTTCTATTACTAAGAAATTAAAGGTTTATGATCTATTTAATTATCCCCTTTTACATTTTAATTACTCTCTGTATATTTCTCTCCAAACAAGGACTTATCTTTAATTTATCCCTAATCACTGCTTTTGTTTCAGAACTTCTATTAAATACGTTTTCTCAAAAAAATTTTACAGAAATACAAGTCCACAAGAAACAAGTTAAGCATGTTGCTATACTAAGATAAACTTTCAGGTTAGTATAAAACCTGATCATATATTCTGCCAAGGCTCAGTAACTCTTATTCTAATTCTACCTTTAGTATATGTTTGTTATGTCTGGACTTGGTTAGATCTTTGATAAATGAACCATCTACACTGCTTTCAGAGTTACCATAATATGAAAGTAACTCATCCAGTCAGTGTTCTGTTTAAGCACTTCTGATCAAAAAGCATAATCTGTAGAACAAATTTTAAATCTGACTTCCTTGTCCTAAAAGAAAGATCCAGTCAGTTCTTCTTGAGGACTCTCCTTCAATTGCTTTATTCCCTACATGAATTCTGACATAGTTTATTAGTTCCTCTCAATTTCTTAGCATTTTGTTTGATTCAAGTGTTTGTCTCATATTATCAGGGAGGTCAGAGACTAACATACTACTACTTCATTAATATTGATTGACTATTTTTAACATTGTAGCCTGAAGGGAATTCTACATTGTACTCAAATTTTAGAAAATACTTTATTTTTTGACAAATTTGGCTTGTATTCTGAATGCCAAACAGATTTCATTATATCCTCGGTAAGGAGGAGACTTTTGTTTATATGGAAAAACATGAAAAGATAAAAGTTTGACCTTATAAACATCAGACTTGAAAATCATCTAGGTCAAAAAGAAAAGAAAGTCACCTAAGTCAAGACTAGAAAAAAAATCAAGACAAAAACCATTTACAGAATCAGTATATGCTTCTGTGCTTAATTCAGAAGTAGTAAGGCCTCTTTTAACTCTGTGTTCTCCAATGCATGGCCATCATAGAGCACTCCTTATCGCTAAACTTGCATTCATCTCTATAGCTTTTTATTTTTTATAATTCTTCTTTTCAATGTTGATATAGTTTGTCTTCACAATTATATGGTGGACTTCCTGAATGCATTAAACTATTTTTATACGTATATATGCAAATATGCTGTGTGCAGTACTCTATACTGAATGCGTTCATTACTCTTGCTGTCCTTAGAAATGTTCAGTGAATGTTCACTCTAAAATCCCTCAGCAAACACTCCTCACTGAAAGGAACTTTCCATCCTTAACTTGTACTCCTGGCTTTTCAGAGATCCAAATCTGACTTCCTATTACCATTTAACAATTTTTACTGTAATATCACTTGACATTTTTTAAAAAGACAATCCCCTAGTGTAAAGCAATAGAAAAATATAAGCTAATCAAATTAAATTAAATTAAATTAAATTGAATAAGAAATTGTTAAAATGCTTCCTGATAACTCAGATTTCTGTAATGCATGAGTGAAGATCCAAATGAAGAAAATAAGGACTTTGACCTGGAGATATTTAAGATATCTTTGGGGATGATAAACAAGTTATGGAGAATATTTCCCTCTACAGAGGAATGTGTAGCTGATGTAAATCCTAGATATTATAGTCAACAGAAAAGATTATTCTCCTTATGTTTAACTCAGCATTTGCAAGTTCAGTGTACTGACAGTGTGTTCAGTTTCAGACTCTATAATGGATATGACTTCTGAGTTCAGGATGAGTCATTTTTTCTGTTTGTTTTCCTTTTCTTCCACCTAACATATGAATATAATTTCCAAGTTTCCGGTTAAAAGTTGTTTGAAGGTCATAGCTGATTATGTTTTCTTGGCTAAGATATTTGTATATTGATTATGGAGCACTGTTTCTCATACTTTGGCTGGTATACTCACCTACAGGGCCTGTTCAATCTCAGATGATACGGTCCTGACGCCAGATTTTATGATGAAGTAGGTGTCTGTTGGAACATGAGAACACACATTGTTAGCCCTGTGTTACATGTGTGAATGATGCTGATGCTCCTGTTTGGGCACACGGTTGGTGTAGACAACATACACTTGAGAACCATCAGTAACTTATATAAAAGTCTTGCCTCTGTCTCTGAACTTCAGTTTTCTCACATTATAATGTGATTATAATGTTTGCCTAAATGGGCTATTGCAAGGATTTTGAGCCAATATGCATAAATTGTTTTCACAATAATATGAGGAATAACTGAAAGCATTTTAGATGTTCTCCTTATTACTACTATTATTACTACTATCTTCAGCCAACTGTGATTAATGAGTTGTAGCATCCCTGAATTAGTCCTAGAGATATAAACAGATAAAACAAAATAATTCCTTTAAGGTATCCACATTTGGATGCTGGACATATAAATATAAGATTTAACAGGTATAGTAATAGATACATAAACTGGTTCTCGATTTTGTGCCAAAAAAGAAGCAGAGATCAACCCCACTTTGTGGGAGAGGTAAACACTTAACAATTCATTGATGAATACAGGCACTCAGTAAACAGCTGTTAAATAGAATAAATTTGGGGCTCCTGGATGGTTCAGTCCATTAAGAGTCCGACTTCGGCTTAGGTCATGATCTCACGGTTCGTGGTGTTCGAACCCCGGGTTGGGCTCTGTGCTGAGAACTCAGAGCCGGGAGCCTGTTTGGGATTCTGTGTCTCCCTCTCTCTCTGCCCCTCCCCCACTTTTGCTGTGTTTCTCTCTGTTTCAGTAATAATAAACATTTTTTTTAAAAAAAGAATAAATTCATCATAGAGGTTGTGGGTATAATTAGGTGGGAGAGAATTCCAAGGAAAGAAACAATGTATTTATTTGGAAAGAAAGCATGTTTGAAGTAACCATGAAACTATCTGTGTGATACAGATATGAGAGGTAAACAGGAAGGCCAGTCTTGGAAAATCTTGTATTTCTTATTAAGGAGTTTGGAATTTATTCTGTAGGCAGTGATTGAGACTTTTTTTTTTTTTTGCATAAGCTTTAAAGCGTAGAATGAAACATAATTTTCATCTAACCTTCTCCTATCATGAATCTAACTCAGAAATCCCTTTGGTGCCTTTGGATAGCTCTGTACTCAAAACCACAGGTGGTTTCATTGCAGTTTTTAATCTGTGTAGCAAGGAAATCTGAATATTTGCCATTTAGTGTGGGGAAAAAGATGAGCATTGCCTTTTTAAATGTACTAGCTCCTTGAGAACTCATATATTATAAACTTTATAAATTTTTATAAAGTTTAATAAGTTTTTATTCCATGTATAAGCTTATTAGTTTGCAGCTTGAGCCATAACTATCATAGGATCTTAAGATTTGCTTTTCCAGCTAACTAGCTTTTGCATTAGGGTGTGAGGCAAAATTCCATGACAACGGTCAATGACCCACATCCTTGTATAATCTCTTCCCCTTGAGTATTGGAGGCACTGGTAAATATAGTATATATGGTATCACTTCTGTGATCATGTTACCTTATATGGTAAACGAGATTTTTGCAGCTATAATTGTGTGTCCCTTTTGAGATCATCAAAAGGAGATTGTCAAGGGTAAGACCAGTGTCTTTTAGAAAGTGTCAGAGTCAGTGTCAGAGAAACATTCTCCTCCTGGCCTGGAACAAAGTAAACCACTTTTGTGTGAACTGTCTATGGGGGTCATGTGGCAAAGGACTGTAGGTGACCTCTAGTTGCAGAAAGCAGTTTCTCAGTGACAGCTAGTGAAAAATGGGAACCTCAGGCATACAGCCTCAAGGAAATAAACTTACCAACAACCATGAGATTGAAGAAAACCCGAAAACTCAGAGGGAAATCACAGCCTCAGCCAACACCTTGAATTCAGCTGGTGACATTGAAAAGAGGGCCAGGCTAAGCCTTCTCTGGACTCCTAACCCATAGACATTGTGAGATAATGAATGTGTGTTGCTTAATCCATTAAGTTTATGGTAATTTGTTCTGCAGCAACAACAGAAAACAGATCTAGAGAAGCAGAATAATTTCTCTGGCAAAGACTGGGCTTAAGTATTCTAAGACCTAGCACCTGAGTTTGGGGAGAAATCTGAGGGCTGGAAGAGTATTTAAGAGATATTTC